GGCCCCATTACCTATCCTCCTGACCCCCCGCCCGTTCCCCCAAGGCTCACTCGTTGCCTTATTCCGCTGGTCCCAGGTTAAGCAGCTGCTGCAACACTGCAGTAAGTGTTTCTTATGAGATCGGCCTCATCTACACTTCATTGTGACATTGTGGGCTCAAGGGGCAAATCAGCCAACTGGAGCTTTGTGACATTGGCTGCCTGGTAACATACAGGGACCAGTGATTACCTGCCACACTCACTCAGTGCACAACCTGCCTGACACCTAATCCCTGATCTCTGCATGTAACACTCCGTTGAATTCCAGACTCATTGCTCCATTTCCCTCCATACTGTTGAGTTCGTCCCTTCATCTGTCTTGTGTTTCTCCTGCACTCTATCAGGCTTTTAAACCCCAAGCCTGTCTCCACCTACACCCTCCCCGCATTCCCCCACTCTGACACCCACACCTCATGTTAGCCGTTCAAAAAAAAAAGTTAAAGCAATGTTTCTGTGAATCTGACAACGATTCTGTCGTGAGATAACGAAGGTGTATGAATATGCTTCACTCACTCTAATTTTTGCTGTAGTCAGCAGTGTTTGTGTGTCGTTATGTCTTGAGTAAATTGAGCATCCGAGCTGTGCCCACCAGAGGGAGGCAGGGGGTTAGCTCTCAGCAGCTTCTGTAAATACAATACTGTAATCCTTGTGTTTCATAATTTGTTCTCAAGCGGTTCCTTGTTTGCCCAGCGCAGAAACAATTGATCACCTCCTGTGTCATAGCATATCCGAGTTCTTCTACAAGCTTTGGCATTGCAATGGTTAGCCATAGATGGGTGGCACCATTGGTGGAATCCCTGCTTCTCACTGATGCCGTGTGTGTGTGTATGTATGGTGGGGGGGGCGTGAGTCTCACTGCATCACTGTTGTTTTCTGAGACTGTAAAGTCAGCTGATAGTGGAGCTTTAGCAGGTGTTTGCGGATGGGATGAAGCTCTCGTTAGCTGGATGCTGACAGGAGGCTGTGGGAAGGAGCATTCCCCCTAGCACAGAGCAGTCCACTGATGGAGCTGGGATAGGCCTATTCCAGAGACACCCCAGCTGCTGCTTTCTGATTCAGTGCAGCTGCTGCTGTAAGTAATCCTTATAGGAGCCCGACTCTCATCTGTGTATGTGATTCTATGCATGTCTGTGTGTATATGAGTGTGTATGTGTATCTACGTATGTGGGCTACTCTCAGGGCTGAGCTGGTGCTAGCGTTTATGCAGTTAGGAGTCCTTTCTACTGTTGATCTCTTCTTTTCCAATACTGTTGTGGTATTTTTAACATTCACCTGAACAGGCTGATAGGATCTTGCTTTATTGTCTCATCCAAAGGATGACTTGTCCAACAACACAATGCTCTGGAGGGTCAGACTAAACCCCAAATTCATCCCAATGGGTTTAGGCTTAAACCAACCTTCTGACCCATAGGCATGTATGCTACCACTGAGCCAAGGTACATAAACACCGATATACATTCTTTCACATGCATCTTCACACTTACAGAATACAGACACTTCCATACGTATACACATATCTCTACCTCACGTTCTGCAGTTCTCTGAATGCCTTGGTACCAGAAGCTGGGGTTTAAACATGCAATAGAAACCTTTGACTCTGAATCTGACCTTCCGTTTTCAGCAGTTCAACAAATGAAGAGGCCCAGAGCAGGAAGTTGCCACAGCTCCTCCTGTAAGATTTATAGCCAATTATTTTCCATTTCCACACTTAACAGGAATCCACAGCTGTCCAGATGTGCTCATATTTCACTCATCCTCAGAGGATCAAATTCTCTGAGAGTTCAGCAGAACCATCACTGCTTATAGTCTTGGGCTGGAGATCCCCCTCTCAGGGTTGTACTATACCAAACCTCAATAAGACTTGGTTCCCCTCTCGGTGTTGAACTGCTCCTGCTCCCCATACATTGAAAAGTGTCCCATTTTCCTCTAGATGTCAGACGTAACCTCTGATGCCACACTCCAATGCTGTGCTTTTCCTGGCTGATTCTCACAGGTTGACCAGCAATTGGTCCGAACATCAATGTGTCACAGACATCGACGCGGGAAGCAAACTGAGCATCACTCACTTCAAACATCAGTTATCTTCATCCCAGCTCTCTGCTGGGTCTGCACCTTGTTATAGGTCAGAAGCCAGAACAGGAGAGCAAAGGCCATTCACAGAACAGGAGAGCAAAGGCCATTCACAGAAAGAACCTGTAATTCTATTTTGATGAGAACTGCAGTGCAAATTCTTTCCTTCAAATAAAAAGTACAAGATAAGAATTTACTATTTGGTCTTTAAACTATTGCTTTTGTCTGACAGACGTATTTTTCTCTACAGTTCAGCTTTAATGATTAACCTCACAGATATGCCAGCACTGCACAGGTGGTATATTGTATGCAAAGATCACTATTACACGAAATACTGCAACACCCAACATGGAGTGCAGTATACAGCTGAGACGCTGATGCCACTTCTAGGGGTTGTTAGCTGCAATTTTCATGAGCAAATCTACAAGAAATGAGACAGTAATAGAAGAAATCAAAGATGGAATCACTGGGAACTGGGGTTTATCTCCAGATATCTATGAATTTAATGAGTTTTATGATGAGAGTTATGATTGGGAATTCCCTTCATTGAGTTCAATGAGGGCCTTCCCCACCCACATGCCTGCCCACCCACTGAAAGTGGCTCAGGCAGTGAATCAGTCCCAGAACCTCCAACATCATAAGCATCAACAAAAACAACTTGCATTTATGTAGTGCCCTTCATGCAGGACGGCATCTGGAAGCTCTGCGTATGGATGGAGTTGGAAGCTGAGTTGGGCAGGAGGTGACCATAGGGGCCATGAAAGAGATAAGTCTTAAGAATTAAAAATGGATAAAGACAGAGCAAGGCGACGCAATACTCCGTACCCCCAGCCCCCACCACCAGATCCATTGGCCTGGCCAAAAAACTATCTGTATTTTTCATTGGTTGTTTCACAGATTATACAAAGTTTACTCCCCACCCTCCTGATCCTCCCTCACACAGACACACACAATCTGCCTTTTCCTCTGATTGTGTCTCACCATAGTCTATTCTCACACGTAAGGCCTAGTTCAGGAAGGTCTTGAAGGCTTGCTTGAGGGAAGATCTTCCTACACAAAACAACTTAAAGTTTTAAAGCCACGTTTGGACTTTCAGTTGTACGTTCGTACTTCCAATATTAAGTATTAATGACAATCTATCTGAATCGATTTCTGTATAGAGATCCTTGGGAGTCATAATAATAATAATAATCCTTGCATTTGATATTGAGCCTTTTCATGTCTTTGAGACGTCTCAAGGCGCTTCACAGAATATACTGTAAAGTGAATCGACAACACATCTGTGGGCAAAATGTGAGAAGTGTTAAAGGCATGCTGACATGCTGAGTGTCCATCGCTTGGAAAGGACAAGTGAGGATTCAGAGCAAACCCAACACACCTTCTAACACATGAGGAAATGCCAAGCTGCTGTGATGCAAGTTTCAGGCTAATTTTGTGTTTAAGCTGGAGCAGATGTGGCAGTGGCTAGTGAGAGCGAGGGAGGAAAAGCAGAACAAAAGCATAACTCAGCTCATGTACAGCTCAGCCTGATCTCTGAACCTTTACAAGTGTGTTTTGCATCTGACAGTTTTGCATTCAGTAGTGTACGTGCACCAGTTCTGATTGCTGCTTCCCTTTTACTGTTTGATGCATCCTGTGATGGTGGGGTGAGGGCATCAGTCATTCAGCCCTGCTCAGGAATTTTAGCTCCAATAATTATAATAATAATAATAATAATCCTTGCATTTGATATAGGTGCTATACAAATATAATTTTGTTGTTGTCACAAAGGGCTTCACAGAATAAACTGTAAAATAAAGTTAATTATATTTTGTGGGTGAAATGCGGCAGCCAATTGTGCATAGCATTGTCCCGCAAACAGTTGTGGATTGAGAGAGCAAATTATTATTATTATTTTTTAAGGATTTATTAAGAACAATTATTGGATTTTTAATAAACACTTTAGGGCTCAGGTCAGTGGTGGTGGTGGTGGGTTGTCAGGGAATGCACACCACTCAGTATAAGGCTATATACCCCCAAGTTCTGGGTTTAAAGTTTCACTAACAAATGCGTCTCAGACCCAGGGGTCCTGTTTTGAGTAACGCTGCTCCATCCCCTGCGTTGGCCGCAGACTCACATGTTCCACAGTCAGCCAGTGTCCAGGCACGGCTTACCTCAAATAAAGCAGCAAAGGGCAAAATACTGCAGATGCTGAAGATCTGAAATAAAAACAGAAGTTGCTGGGAACACTCAGCAGGTCAGGAGGCAGCATCTACGGAGAGAGAAAAGTGAGTTAACATTTCAGGTCATAGAATATTACAGCACAGAAGGAGATCATTCGGCCCATCATACCTGAGCCATAACAGTTCTGACGAAAAGTCATTGAACTGAAACGTTGACTCACATCCCTCTCTCCATAGACAAAACACAAAATACTGTTCTTTTCTGACCAAGGGTCGTGGACCCGAAACATTGACTCACTTTCCTCTCTCCATAGATGCTGCCTGACCTGCTGAGTTTTCCCGGCTCTCTCTGTTTTTGTTCCTCTCTTCATAGATAATAATAATAATAATCCTTGCATTTGATATAGCGCTTTTCACGTCTTCTAGACGTCCCAAAGCGCATCACAGAATATACTGTGAAGTGAATTGACTGTTTATTTGTGGGCGAACGCGGCAGCCAATTGCGCACAGACCTGTGAGGCATGTTCCCAGTGCCTTCTGTTTTCAAATAAAGCAGCAATTACTGAGGAGAGAGAAAAAAAAGCCTGGCTAAGAGAAACCACCTGTAATTTTCCGCAACGATTTTTGTACACTGAATCCCTTAGTCAGAGCAGCAAACCTGCCCCATCCGCCCACCACCGGGTGATTTTATTGACCGACAGCCACTGAGCCAAAGTTAACTTCTAAGGTGGTTTTTTTTTGTTATTTTTGCGCTTCTCAATGTGCAGGATGTTGACTCAGAGAAGTTTTTTTCCATTCTGATACCCAGAATTAGCATCAGACAAGAGAGAGAGAGAGAGAGACAGAAGGAGAGACAGTGGAGGGAAAGAAAGAAAGAAAGAGAGATGGGATTTTAATGCATTGTTTGCTGAAATGTCGGTGTCATTTTGCATTAACAAAAAAATAAGAGTTACAAAGTGTAACAGTTGGAATTATTCTGAATGATAATTGCTGTCTGCTTAATCCGAGAGAGACCCAAGGAAGCTGGGGAGGAGCTCCTCAGGCACATGGAGCAATCCTGCCAGAGGTGGGAGGAGATTCACTCAGCCTCACTCTGTACAGACATCCAACATATAGAGAGAGACACACACATCACACACACACACAGAGATGCAGACAGATATTGCAGAGATATTACCTGTGTAGAAACAGATAGAGACACACACACACAGGTACAGACACACACCACATCGTTTCAGAGAGAGAGAGAGACACACATATAGATTTGGACAGACTCAGAGACAGTCAGAGGCACAGACACACACATCACACACATACACACACACAAACGATTATGTAAAGGATGCAGCCACAGTTCTGATCTGTGTGATATTTTATTGCTGGTCTTGCCATGGTGCAGGGCAGGGAGAGGGACATACTGCCTGGGGTCTGCTCAGCCACACGCAGGTGAGTGAGTGGTGCCTTTCTCTGAGATCCTGGAGTTAATGTGTTGAAATTCTGTGGTTTAAGAATGAGTGTCACTGGTTAACACCTGAAGAGATGAAGAGAACTGAGTGATTCCTCTTCGACTGCGCCTTTGGTCACCCTCCTACCCCTACCCTCCACCCCCTGATCCCAACCCCCTGCTCGGGTCCAAATCCCTGACTGTCCAGCGCTTTGGGAACGTCCTCCCGACGTGAAAGGCGCAATAGAGATGTAATTTGTTGTTGTTTTATATTGCGCTGAGGTTTGTCTGCAGTAACGCCTGATGTCCACAAACCAGATCTGTGACCACAAACCATTTGATTTTATTCCGCTGTTGTTGGCTTACAACGTTCATGCAATTTCTTACTAAATATTTAATAAGAAGAATTGGAACATTATAACCTGAATGTGGCAATGCACAGTATTAGGTAACTATGTGACACCTGCAGACTCTCTCCCTCTCAGTGATGAACAAACCCTCTCTGGAGCCAGTTTGTTTCAGTAAAATGGAACTGCAATTGAGGAAAAGTGATGCAAATGGTATGTTTTATTTCCTGCTCCTGTGACTAAGCGGAGTCTCTCATTGTAATTTCTGAGTAAAGTGGAAGGGTTACAACAGCAACAAATGACATTTGTATAGCGCCTTTCACGTCAGGAGGAAGTCCCAAATCGCTGAAACACCATTACAGGGAGCCAGAAGGGGGAGAAAAACCCTCATCGCTATCTAGTAACCACCATCACCATTTGGCCCGAGTACAGAAGGTGATCGGTGGCAGCACCCCGGTCTGAGTCAGTATTTGGGGGGTTGGGTGTGGGGGAATGATGATGTGCATTGTAGAGTTCAGCAGGCCAACATTCATACGCTTTGTGTGTATGATATGAATTCCCCATTAGTTTCACACTGTTAGTGGGTGTAACGTTACAGTTAGTCGCCGGTGATATTAATGTTTGATATGTTCAAGGGGCCGAGCACAGTGTGAGCAGGACAGCTGTCTCTCTGCACAAGGGATTCAATGCAATGAGCGATGGTTTCTGGCTTTCCCAGCTCACTGACCCAGGCACCGAGTCCTCACAGAGCACAGACTCGCTGCCTCTAAGGTGAGGGGTGCTGCATAATACACAAATAAAGGGAGGGAGAAAGAAATGGCTTAATAGAGCAGGTTATTAGTACATGGGGAATGCCCTATTAAAGTGGTGGATAGAAGCAAGAGCCCATCATAATGTCTTTTAAAAGAGAATTAAACAAATATTTGTCAAGGAAAATACAAAAAGTTCAGGAGTAAGGGCGAGGGAGTAAGACTAAATGATTACCTCTTCAGAGATGTGGCACAGAGGCCTAATGGTATAAAATGCTTTTGTGTCTCCTGTAAATTTGGTTGGAGTTGTGGTTAAGGGATCTTATCTTCTCAATGGGTATTCTGGAATGATGAAATCAAATGGGCCAAAGGACCGTCTTCATCCCAACTTTCTCTTATGAGCTTGAGAAAAACTCCACTGCCATGGGAAGAGATGACGTCTCTACATTTAAAGGGCTCATGAATAAGTACTTGGCAAATGCATTGTTTACAAATACAAGTTGCTTTGACACTGTCATTGCTGGGTCCAGCGCTCCTCCCTTCACAGTAAAAGCTCTACCAGCCTCCAGAGGCCTCTCGCTGGGGGAGCAAAGGGAGAGAGCTATCCACTACACCTTCGGGAACAGCCTGGGAATTACCATGATGAGGTGGTTGGGTAGCACTATCTATAATGGCAGCAGGAAGAGATGTCACAGTGTCAGTGAGTGTAGCTCGAGTGGAGTTCACAGAGTATAACTTTAGCACGAAACATTGAGAAATGTCTTCAGCATGTCTTGAGTAATTGAGATTTTGTTTTTCACTCTCGCATGGAATCAAATTCCACAAACAGCTCCGCGGAGGCCCATTTTCAGCCTCTCCGTTTCTTATCATCCACTTTGCTGACCATTTAACAAAAGCCAGATGTCTGTGGCCCTGATTGAGTGACCTGAGTGTCAGCATCTCAGAGCTACTTTACAATTCCTTCCAGCCTCTGACTCAAGTCGCTTTACCAGCTTCCACCCTGAGTTACTTCATCTCTCTTCAATTACAGCTATATCCTTACTAACCTACGTTGATTTGATAATCTTTCCCCAGACCAAGGTTCGCTATATGGGGGAGGGAGGGTGGTAGGAGAATTACTGACCAAGGTAACTTTAAGCAGGGAGAGGAAAAGTAGCCGGGTTAATGTTTTAAAACTTAAGATGATACAGAATCTTGAAAAAAATCTGAATTTTAAAACTGCTTTTGCACAGTTCTTATTAATAACAACAATCCTTGCATTGATACAGTGCCTTATCACATCATAAGGAAGTCTCAAAGCACTTCAAAGAAAAAGAACTAATGTCCAAATTAAGATTAAATTGATGAATTTTGCTACAATTCTGTACAATCTTTAAATTGTAAGACAAAATGATCTCACCGAGTGAGACAATGTGGAATCTCACACTTCTGCACTATTTAAGCTGTTAAACTCTCTCTCCCTCTCTCTCTCTGAATATGTGCATTAAGCAACAGTTTCTCCTCCACTCCCCGCTCGGATTAAATCAAAATATTACTGAGTGTGTTGTACAACTTCCTTGTCTCTGAATTCTCCCCTCTCCTAGAGATTTAATGCTCTCTGCGGGACAGCTGGTGTGTCTGTCCCAAGAACTGTGGCTGTGTGAATCCAGGCAGGGGCAGGGGGGCTTACTGGGAGGCAGTTTGGGGCCATATGGAAAAGCCATCTCGGACGCCGGCTTTGGTAAATCCTTTCCCCAGCCATTAAGCTCTGGAGTGATGGGATATCAGATGAGCTGGGGAGCAAATGGGCAGCTTATGATCAATCTAAGCCTCTCTGCTGATTCCACACAGGAATGTCTATTTCGGTGCTTACAGGGCAGAGAGCATTAGAACTGTTTAGTATAAATTTTATCCTGATCCATTAGTACTGTGAGGCCTGTAACCCGTCACTCCCCACCCACCATAACAACACCACATCCACATCCTTCACGTCCACCTGAACTGGCAGAGCTGAGCTGGCTGTAATGTCTCAACTGAAGGATGTGGGGTGGCCCCCAGTGTGAGTCAGCACCTTCAGGAGAAGAGGATAATACAAAGCAGCGTGAACTTTCTCACTAACGTTTTCACACTGTGAGGGAATTGTTGTACTTTACATCACTCGTCTCTCCCTCCTGAGGCCGTTTTCTTCCCTTCCTGTTTTTTTTGTTGAAATTTGAGACCAACAATCTGAATATTTATTCCAGTTTCTCTCTCCTCCCCCAATTTGTCATTCACTTGTTGACTGTGTGCTGGATGTTGCTGGTGCAAACCTGCGCTCACTGCACTCAAAGTAATTCCCTGTAAAACGCAGTGTCTCGGAACACTTAACACTTGAAGCTCTCTGGGACACTAACCTGCGTGAGGGGTGTTATTATAAATGTAAGCTATTGTTGTTAACAGTTACGGAGCCTAATGCCAAGCTGGGGGGAGGGAGGAGGTGACCATAAGCACGGTCGAAGAGGAAGGTCTTCAGTTGTGATCTAAAAGAGAGGAATGAGAGGACACGGTGGAGGGATTGAGTGAGTGAGCTCCAAAGTTTCGGGAAGTAGTGGCTGAAAGCGTGGAGGCCGTTGGTGGAGCAGAGGGGACGAGGGATGAGCAGGAGGCTGGAATGAGTTGGGAGAAGGCAGTGGGCAGTGGAGTTGGGAGTAAGCAGGTCAGAAAGATAGGGAGGTACCATTGCGTGAAGAGTGAGAGGATCTTGAAGTCGATCCATTCTGTGACTAGGAGCCAGTGGCGCCCGGCGAGGACCGGTGTGACAGGAATACGAAGTTTAGTGTGGGTGAAAATACTGGCGGCGGAGTTCTGAATCTGTACTTTGTAGTGGAGTGGAGCAGGGAGACCGGTGAAGAGATCATTGGAGTAGTCAACGCTGGAGGTAATGAAGGTGTGGACGAGGGTTTCGGCTGTGTTGGGGCTGAGGTACGGTTGGAGGCGGACAATGTGACTCAGCAATTGGACGACTCAGCAAATGCTGCTCCTTGAGGCACTTCCTTTATTGGGGTTATAAAAGGCAGTGACCACCTGCAGTCAATGAGGGTCATTCTGCACTCCTTATACCATTAGGTCACAGAGATGAAAGCTTCTGAAACTCTCACCACAACACTGTGGTCTTCAGCCAGTGGCACTGAGGTGAAAAGGTCAGACTTAGACTCAATAAATCTACCCTGGACTCCGCTGTGCGGCCCGGCTGGATAATTGTTCCGATGGATAACAAGTGGGGATGAGCCCCTTCCCTCTGAGCAAATGTCTTCATTGTCATTGCTTCTGTGGCAGATGCAGCCAGAGAGACAGAATCACACCAGGCTTCATCTTGTCACATCAGCTCATTCTTAAATTCAGGCTAATTTGAAGCTGCTTTTCTGAAGTTGTTAAGAGGAAACCAACTTCCAAATTATAAACCGTGACTGGCACAGGCGGGATGGGCTGAGCAGCCTGCGTCTGTGCCGTACATTCTTTGTAAAACGGGAGGTCCTCCCGACTGGAGAGACGCTATACAAATGTAATTTGTTGTCGTTGTAAACACGTGTAGGAATGTTTGACAATTAGGTACAATTCTGGCCTTAAATTGTAAGTCAAAATGGCCTCGCAGGCTAAGACTGGATGGAATTACATTTCTCTCACCGTATATGATCCTCGGTCCAGCTATGAGCTGGGTTCATCAATTGCTGTGCGCCATTGGCTGCCGCGTTCGCCCACAAATATACAGTCAATTCACTTTACAGTGTGTTCTGTGAAGCGCTTTGGGACGTCTTCCCGACGTGAAAAGCGCTATATCAAATGCAAGGATTATTATTATTATTATTATCACTGAGCTCATGCTCAAATCTTCCTGACCCCGTTCAACTCTTTGCCATTGACTCACGCAGGTTTGACTGAAGGATTGACTGTACTTGAGGGATTTCCACTGTCCCAACACACACCTTATACACTGGCCTGCTTTAGGAATGACTAGCGACAGTGCACAAACCAATTCTATTTCCCTTTCTACACACACAAGAGTTTACAAAGGATTTGTGCATGTTTCCTGTTTTACTTGTGAATAGATGTCTAAAACTTAATATGGGTCTCCTTCTCAACAAACTCCAGCCCTTTCATCCACTGAATAAAAGGCAAACGTGTAATATTTCTACTGCCTGCAGCTAACATGAAAGCCTCAACGGTGTGTTAAGATCAAAGCTCTCTCAGTGTGTTGAGCAGCTGTGATTAGCAGTGTGCGGCACAGGGAAGGATGCAGGCTCAGTGCTCAACAGGTCAGCACCTCTGATCAGACTAATCAAACTCAGGTCCCTAGGAGTGTGCACAAGCACTGCACGGCGTGAAAGCCGCTATATAAATGTAATTTGCTGTTGTTGGTGTTGTTGCACAGTCCAGGCAATTGGCCAAAACCAAGCCTTTAACGCTCTGTGAGTTGCGCTGTGATCCCAGGACAGAGTCATCAAAATTAAAGGACACGAGGGGGCCATCCGGCCTATTGTGCCAGTGCCCGGAAAAGCTTCTCCACTAAAGCTCTCTACACTTAATCCCTTCCCCCGCATTTTTCCCATCCATAAAACTGTAGCAATGTACGACTCAGTTGGAGATCATTCGAGCAAAATTTTTTGTGTTACTGTTTCTGCCTCTCCCAAGACGCAACCATCCCAATTGCAGCTCTCCTCAGGAGAGAGACTGGGACAAACCAGACTCCCGGCACATTGACAAATCGATCCCGCAACACCAGGAGATTTAATCATCATAGTGAATAGTTTCCCTCTCTCTCCAGGAAGAGGATGCACATTCCATTCGATTTGGGATTTCTATGTGGAGGTGGGTCGCATGGAAATCTCACCTTGGTTTGGGCACAGTGATGGGTTTCCACTTGTGTCAGACTCCCAGCTGACCCTCAAAAAATTGATAGTTGCTGTCAAAACCATCTTGTCAGATGATCCAATAGTAAATGTCAACAGCTGATTTGACTCGCATTGATTCTCAGCCCCGTTCGCTTCATTAATTCAGTTTATGGATTATTTTCTCTTCCCAGAAGCTGTGTTGCCTGAGCGCTAGTCGTGCCTCTCCATTGATTGGAATGAGGAGACCCCGGATCAGTTGGCCCGGACGTGCTTCCAAACTTTCCTCCGGAAAACGTTTCCAAACGTGGAAAGTTCACACCAGGTAACAGATGTGTGACATCTTTTCGTGGTCGAGGCTGTACGTGATTAAAGCGAAGATGAGGGTGTGTCAGGAAATTTGGGACAAAACAGCTTGATGATTGTCAACACTTTGCTTTGATTATTTTCAGGAGGATGGCCTGAGATGCTACCCCGCGTGGAGGGCGCTATATAAGTGCAAGTTGTTGTTGTTGTTGTTGAGGTCAGCTGTGTGAAGTTGAGTGCTGAGTGGCTGATAGAGACATTGGTGGCGGCTGATTCTCTGCGGTTAGGAGGCACCAGGTAGCCTGACCTCAGCCGCTGGACATGCGAGAGAATCTGGATATATGCCATCTCGAGCTCTAGATTTATAGATGGCCCCGGCCTGCCGTTAATCGCTGCACAATGAAGCCTGGGACTCCGGTGAGCTCGCCCTCCCCTCTGCGGCTGCTCAACAGGGGCCCGGAGTATCTACGCCGGCAAATGCAAAGTGACGACAGGAGCCCGGTGCGGAGCGCTGTCGAGAGGCTGGAAGCGGACAAGGCCAAGTACGTCAAGAGCCAGCAGGCCATGAGCAGCCGGCAGGATCCGGCCTCACCTTCCCAAGCCGCGTCCGCGCTGCCCGGTTACTCCCGCGGACACGGTCAGCCCAACGCGGCCGATCTCAGCCGCCTCCAGCCCGGCTCGGGCCACATCACGAAAGAGAACACGAATTTCGAACTGCTGAAGAACGTGCAGAACGTTCTGCTGGACGGGGCTTGCCAAGAATCTCCCACCGTCAGGCGGGCAAACGCCCGGAGAATGCCAAGACCCGACTCCCTGATCATGTACCGGCAGAAGTGGGACGGCAAAGGCAGAGCCCCGGAGAGCGGCAGAGGCTACGGATTCATCCGCCGGCTCTTCCGGGGTTCGGTGAGAGAAAAACAAACCGCCTCCCTGGACCGTGTGAAGGACGGGGCCAGAGCCAGACACGTCAATGACAGTGACTCAACACCGGACACCAAGAACGATTACATCTTTCTGTACCCACACACAAACGTCGCCATCTCTCCGGGCATCTGTCGTGCCAGGCTGCAAAGGTCAGCGAAGGTGAGCGGGGCTGCTGTGTTGAGTGTAAACTCTGACCCTGACCAGCGCTCCTCTGCTGCTCTCTCTGAGGCCGAACGTTTCTTCAATGAATGTGGGCTGGACCCAGAGGTCGTTCGGCAACTGGCCTCGGCCAGACCCCAGCCCAGCGGCACAGCCACCTCACACAGCAGTGAGCCGTGCGGGCACAGCGCGGACAGGGAGGGAATTTACGAAGAGGAAATGAACAAGCAGGTCCCCGCGGAGGTGTCCGTCATCGAACGCAACGCACGGGTCATCAAATGGCTGTACGGCTGTAAAAAGGCCAAGGAAGGGCCAAGGGAATCCACTGTGTAGAGAGAGCGAGAGAGCGAGGGAGGGGCAGGCAACCTGACCATTGAATGAACTGTGGACAGACTACACAGTCTATGTTGACCAAAGCTCTGGGAGGAGCAGAGCTAAGCTCAGCCTTCAGAACTTACAAATGAGGCTTATATTTAAGATGTAATATTTTATTTTGAGAGTGTAATAAGCTGGGGTAACACCCCCCCCCCATCCCCCATGGCCCCCATCATTTGCTCCATGGGAGCTCTGACACCTACACACACGAGTAGACACACTGCATCGTACAATCACTTTCACATTTCAGTGCATGCATGTGCACACACTTACATACAAGTGTGCACACACACATGCACGCACTTGCTGTGACTCCAGGCATGAGTTTAGCTGTCAATTGTTAAGTATTGAATGTGCATTATATTTATAATTCACACAACTGGTCACCGCCCACTTCTTTTGTTTCTGAACCCGGTGGTGTTGGAATGTATGTTTCTGTATTTGATACAAAGGTTTGACATTTTTGTAACTGGAATGCAAAGTTTAATAAAGTTTTATCTAAGTTCTGGACGTGTGGGGGAATGTGAGGTGGGGATGGTGAAGGGCGAACAAATGGTGGTAAAATCTGATTCATCACTGTCTTTTGGAGGCAAATTGACTCTGATCCGAATCTCTGCAATATAAGCGCTCTGAGACTCTACTCTGAGTGAGAGGCACTATATGCAAGTTGCTCTTGTTCTGCTGTGTGAGCACAGCCACTGATTGCCAGTTAATAATAATAATAATAATAATAATAATAATAATAATAATGCTTGCATTTGATATAGTCTTATCACGTTGTTGAGATGTCTCAAAAGCGTGTCACAGAATATACTGTAATGTGAACTGACTATTTTGGGGGTGAAATTTTAAAATATGAAAGTTCTTCACTTTCCTGACATGGATTTACTTTGTTCAGGCAGCCTCTTACAGGGCCTACATTTACTCTTATTTATGTGGCAATTGCTAAATTCAGTTTTTACTTTGAACTCCATGTTTCCCTATAGTTCTTAAAAGAAACTTCGCAATTGAGGCTTATTTAAGAATCTGCCCTAATTCTGAACACTCTGAAATGCTATAAATCTTAAGAGTTCAAAAAGCACGTCTCCCACCTGTGCCGTGGGAAGTTAGTTGGAGCGGGGGAGGGGAGGCAAGGAAACAAGCACTGGAAGTTTTATTTAGCGTTTTTTTCACACAGGGTTGATATCAGAGGCTCTGGTGGAGCCTGGGTTAGAGGCAGAGCGAAGTTCTCTTGCTGTTTCTCCGGTCTGACATTTCCACATCCCGCGCCAGCCATCTGGCAGAAGCCAGACGCTGCAAATTCTCTTAACTCTTTAAACTCATTAAATCAAACCTTTACAAAAGAAGCATGTTTCACATTAACGTTCATGCCACTTTTACCCACAACCTGACTCAGAGTCCAGAGCGCTACCAATGAGCCAGGCTGACACATGAAGCAAGTACTGAAGGCAACTGAACAAGAAGTCCCAGGTTTAGAGGGCAATTTTGGAAGTATTTCTTAAGTATTGTTCCAGGAAGTATTTCTTTACCCAGAGGGTAATTAATGACTGGAATGGGTTATCCAGAAAGGTTGTTAAGACCAGGCAGGAGGTTGAGAAACGCCTTGATGCTGTAAAGAGAGGACAGTTGGATCGGTATTCTTCAACACATGAGATCACCCAATCTCTCTTGTGATCATATGAAATCTTGCCAGTTGTTTTACATTTGAAGGAACGCGCACAAACTGTCCACAGGACACCTGTCATCACCCAGGTTTGCTGGTCTCTAAACTATCTCATTGAGGGAAGTTTCCGTGTGTGGGTGGTCTGCATACATTTGTGGAACTTTAGTCTGGTTTGCTTCTTCTCAAGAATGGTGATGGGGTTCAGGCGTGTGTCAGACACACAGCTGACCAAACAAAATCCCATTTATACCCAAATACAAGTCACAAGCTGAGACCGATCACGTTATCACTGTGTGTGTGTGGTGGGGGGTGGGGGGTGGCGAGGGGAGCGTTGGGCTGGACAAGAAGCAATTGTGGAGTTGTGGAGCAAGGCGCTTCGCACTCTTAACTTTTAGGGTTTTATGTGGTTGTGGCATAATAATAATAATAATCCTTGCATTTGATATAATGCATGCTGTCCCATCCCCCTCCGGCCTGTCCCTGGCTAAACCCCTACCTCTTTCACTTTCTTATTCCACTCCCAAAGCACAGTGACCTCTGATGGCCCTCGCCTTGTGCTGAGAAGACAGATCAGTGGATGTGAAACAAACCTAACAAAGCATTTGATGTTACTCCCCAGTTTACACGAATCTGTGATAATGATAATAATAATCCTTGCATTTGATATAATGCCTTATCGTGTCATTGAGGACTCAAAACGCTTCAGAGAATGTTCTGTAAAGTGATCACACGAAGCCTAATCCCATTCCCGCACCTGAGACGGGTGGGTCCCAGACTCTGGGCAAACTGATCGAATAAACGTCCTGAGAGATGTGAACTGAAATTATTCCAAGGATCGGATTTACGATTCTGTAATGTGAACCAGCTTCACAATGCCTGGATTGGGAGACAGATCCGTAAATCGCAGCCTGCTGATTTTGCTAGCTCATGTCTGCCCTTTCACCCCCAGGCTGCTGCCTCCTCTCTGATTAGTTGCAGCTTGTGTGTGTGTGTGTGTGTTAGTGTGTGAGACAGAGGTCTCCGTGATAGTCTGTGACTGGTAGCTGTTACTCACTGCCATCGCTCCGGGGATTAGTGGCCTTTCTTTCACACACCCAGAGCAGCGGAGGATGTTTATAGAACATTCTGATTGCAGGCTGGTGAAATCAATTCACATTATCTTATTCAGATCGATCCTCTCGTGGCTAATGCCGGGGTGGATTCACAGTTACAAACTGCTGTTCCCTTGCTGGAACTGCTTTGTGCTGAAGGGAGTTCCGCAGGTGTTCCGAGGTGACCATTCCTCAGGTGTGAGCCCAGAGAGTGAGCGTCGGCAGCGATTTAGGTTAAAGTTTCGCCCACAAAATACACAGTTTACAATATATTCTGTGAGGCGCTTTGAGACGTCTCAATGATATGATAAGGAGATACATCAAATGCAAGGATTATTATTATTAAGTGGTTACAGTAAACTCTTGATAACTCGACCCTGTCTTAACTTCTCTGGGACATCACAACCCAACGTGAAAGGCGCTACCATATATAAATGCAATTTGTTGATATTGTTAACTTGTCACTAGGACTTAAGTCATGCTGTCAGTGACTCAGCCGCATTTATTTATGTATTGATACATATGCCTAACTTGCCACTCTGGATAACTCACTGCTGAGTCCTTTTCCCTCGGAGAGACTTGTTATCAGGTGTTTACTGTTTGTGAAATCTAGAACGAATGGGTAAGGATGAACAGGGTCCAGCCTAGGCTAAGCTGAAGGGAGAGGGAATGAGGTAGTGACAGTAAAATAAACTAAATCAGATTTATATCTATCTATAATGGACACAGAGCACTTTGGATGTGGACGAAAGTTCACGTGAAGTCTAGTTTTAACTGAGGAGCTTTGTAATTATGGGCTGTTGTGTTTGCGGACAGGAGCTGGAACAGAGAAAGCCGCTTTCATCAACTAAAGGAAATAACATGAATTTGTGGCTGGAAGTTCTAAATTTGGAATAAACGATTAACTTGCCAAAAAAAAAAACTTTTACTAAAATGTGGCTGCATTGTTTTGTGTGTTTGTCCTCCAGCCCAGCTGTTATACATCAGCTCACGCCATGAGATATTCCCCAGGGCAGATTCTGCTAATCCCCCACCAAGCTTGACTCCCCCTCTGAAATAAACCAATATTAATACTTGCATTTGATGCAGCACCTATATAATTGAAAGGTCTCAAAGCCATTGCTGTCAAGTGTAGTGACTGTTTATTTGGAGGCAAGCAAACAAATCCACGACTGTTTGTGGGACACCGCTGTGCGCAATTGGCTGCTGCGTTCCGCCCACAAAATATACAGTCAATTTACTTTACAATATATTCTGTGAACCGCTTTGAGATGCCTCAATGACGTGATAAGGCGCCATATCAAATGCAAGGATTATTATTATTTATTATGTGAAGTGTTCCTGACTGACATTTTAATGGAACTGTTCACCTTCCCTCAGGTCAGCCGGTCGGTCAGGACTCCGGGCTAAATGTTAAGTGAAAAAAGTAATTTGGTGAATATAGAGTGGGAGTGATTCCCTTTTCAACTAATTTGGGGATTAGTAAGAGATGATTGTTACCAGCTAGAGTTCAAAGAGGGTTAATAATGATCATTGCATCTCTACAAAGCCACATTATTACTGTTATTAGCTCTTTGAACAGCTTTGTGTTGCTCCAATCTTTCTGGGAGGAGACGCTTGGAGTGGTCAAAGGAGGACACTATATCCTGTGTGAATTAATGATGTTTCAAGATTCTGACTTTGATGAAGGTNAAAAAAGGGCTGAACGGTAGGACAAGAATTAGGGGTAAGGGGCAGTTTTTTTCCACCAACATTAATTGATGTGCGGAACACGATCACCAGATTCCTTGACAATATTCAAAAGGAGAAAGGAGTTACTCCTGGTGTCCCTGGCCAACAGAAAAATGGATCATTTACACTTTGTGGCTTGTATGAAAATTGACTGCTACATTTGCCCACAAATATACAGTTACGGAACTTGAATTCCCCTTTCAACATTATAGGCCCAATTTGCCCAATAACAAATACAAGAACTATAATAATAATCCTTGCATTTGACATGTCTTTGAGACATCTCAAAGCATTTCACAGCAAATTGACTGTATATTTTGTGAGGTGAAATTATCAGTTACCAGGATAGATCTCTGTAAATGTGTTCAAGAAGAAAGAAATTGCCTTCTCTTTTTTTTTGAATAGTGCCATGTGATCTTTAACATTCACTTGAAGAGGTTCAGGACATTAGTTTAATGTACCACAATAATAACCATTGCATTTAATATACAGCAGGTGTGAGTCATTTTGACGCTCTGTGAGTTGCACTGTCCTCTCCACTGTGATTCCAGGACATAGAATCATTTAAATTAAGGGACACAAAGGGGGCTGTCCAGTTCATCGTGCCAGTGCCTGAAAAAGCTGTAAATTTCACTCACAAAATCTACAGTCAATTCAATTCAATTTACAATATATTCTGTGAAACGCTTTGAGATGTCTTGAAAACGTGATGAGGCGCTATATCAAATGCAAGGCTTATTATTATTATTATTATTATTATTAATGCAGCCCTTTCATTTCAGAATAGCTCACTTCAAAGCACTTCAGAGTAATTACTTTAATATGTCGTGATTGTGTATTTTGTAGGTGAATATGTACATCTGAAGGTTGACTCTGACAATGCACACGCCCCAGGGCAGCACTCCCCCTACTGTGTTGGATTGTCAGCCTGGACTGTGAGCTCAAATCCGTGGACATGGAGATTTGAACCTCTTGACTCAGACGCCAGAGTGCGGGCAACTGAGCCAGACTGACACCTGATGTCCACTCACTGCCATCTTGTGGTGTCCATGGGATAATTCTGCATCGGGTTCCCCAGGTCAGGTTTTTCGGTAACCCACACTTCTTCCAGTTTTGAATTCAACAATAACAAAATGACGTTTGTACGGTTAGCGCCTTTCACGTCGCGAGGACGTCTCGAGGTGCTGGACGGTCAGTTTCGTGAAATTCATAAGGAGTCCTGTAGCTCAGTGGTTCGAGCACTCGCTTTGCAAGTGAGAGACCTGAGTTCAATTCCAGGCAGAGGGCGAAACCTCAGGCAAGTTTCCTTACTCCACACAGAGCCTAATAATAATCCCTCCAAAACAATAATAAATTGGTCATTTTCAATCTACAACTGTTTGTGGGACATTGCTGTGCGCAATTGGCTGCCGCGTTCGTCCACAAATATACAGTCAATTCACTTTACAGTGTGTTCTGTGAAGAGCTTTGGGACGTCCTCCCGATGTGAAAAGCACTATATGAAATGCAAGGATTATTATTATTATTATTATTATTATTATTATTATGTGTTTCACACAGGGTTTAAAATTCTAGCCACCACCCAGTTTATTGAATTTGGCTCAGACGATGAGGTTGATGGAAAAATCAAACATTTTACATCTGATTATTCACATTTGGTTTCCTTTTTAAGCTTATATCGTACTGTATCGCTCAGCAGCAGATCCCAGCATTCAGTAAAAACGTTTCAGTTGCTTCAACACCTTGTGTGAAAGTGACAGCCAATGTTGCAGGTTTCGCTAACTAAACTCTATTCATATATGTCAAATGCAATGATTATTATTATTATTATTATTATTATTATTGTAGTCTTCTCACTCGAATTCAAGATCCTCACCCTCACCTACAAGGCCATTCACGGCCTCGCTCCCTCCTACCTCTCTGACCTACTATCCCCCTACCTATCTGCCCGTACCCTCCGTTCCTCTGGCTCCGGTCTGCTCCACATCCCCCGCCCCAATCGCCCTACCATCGGTGGTCTTCAGCCTCTCAGCCCCGAGGCTCTGGAACTCCATCCCCAGTGCCTTTGCTGCCTCCTCCCTTTCCTCCTTCAAGGCCGGTCTCAAGACCTTTCTCTTTGACCTTCAGCCTTCAGCTCCGTTCTCGACTCTCTACCCCTCCTCGCTCCCTCCCCTCCCTCCCCTTACCCTGACCATTCCCCCCCTCTTCGGGTCCTCCCGACGTGAAAGGCACTCTATAAATGGAATCTTGTTGTTGTTGTTGTTGTTCTCTCATGCTTCTCTGCTCCTGTATAATAGTGATATTTATTGATGGTGTTACCCGTTTCATAGTGCCACTTTACCCTTTTGCTTCTACTTTCCGGACAAATTATAAGGGAAGAGGATGCACACGCGCGGGAGAGGGGAAAGGGGAGGATTATCGGAAGATGGATTGGGATCAGGTGGCGGTTTCACGCGGAGGATAAACACTGGTGAGGACGGGTTGGGCTGAATAATGATAATAATAATCCTTGTGTTTGATACAGCGCTTTTCACGTCGGGAGGACGTCCCAAAGCGCTTCACAGAACACACTGTAAAGTGAATTGACTGTATATTTGTGGGCGAACGCGGCAGCCAATTGCGCACAGCAATGTCCCACAAACAGTCGTAGATTGAAAATGACCAATTTATTATTGTTTTGGTTTTGGAGGGATTATTATTAGGCTCTGTGTGGAGTAAGGAAACTTGCCCGAGGTTTCGCCCTCTGCCTGGAATTGAACTCAGGTCTCTCACTGGCAAAGCGAGTGCTCTAATCACTGAGCTACAGAGACTCCACGATGGACCAGTTTTAGTGCTGTGACGGTCAACGTCATTCCATGGAATCGAACGAACCGCCGCGTCGCAACAAGACGGCCGTTGGTGGCCTGGGCCGACGAGTCAAACAGTCACTACAGCTGCCGGGGATTCCCAGTGAAGCTCGTGACCCCGGGAGGGCCTTCATGACCACCAGCGGCGGCCCCTCCACACCCCCGGACCAGACTGACTCCGGCCCTCCATAAAATAGTCCCACACAAATCGCTGAAGGGCGTTCACCGAGGAGGCATCGCAGCGAATGACCACGTGGCCGATGACGAGCCAACAGCGTGTCCAGGCGGGTGCGCGCGCAGTTCGCAGCGGTTGCGATGAGGCTAAAGCCGGTGCTGTGCGCGGCGGAGTGATACGGCGCGGCGGGTCACGTGTGACGTTTGACGTGTCACGTGTCACGTGCGACGTTTGACGTGCGACGTGTGACGCAGGCGGCCGGGCGACGCTCCTCGCGGCTCAGGTACCGGCTGTGTTCAGCCCCGCGCGCTCGAGCGTCTCCCCGGCCGCCGCCGCCCCCGCCCCCGCCGCCGCCAGCAGCAGCCCCAGCGCTTCCCCGGCGACCGTTTCATTCACAGTTCACCGGGGTTCCCGCCCTTCACCCGGCGGAGTCCACGCCGCTCTTTCCCATTGGCTGCTGTCGCTCGCGGAACGTCCCGCCTCTGCTCCACGCTGATTGGAGGACCTGCGGGGCTGCAGGTGATTGGCCGAGCCGCGTGTCAATCTGGTGTGTGTGTGTGGGGGGGGGGAGGGGGAGGGGATAAGAATACCAATAATCTTTGCAAAAAAACGCCAAAATGCTGGAAATCTGAAACCGCAACAGAAGTGGCCGTCACCTCTCAGGGGGTCCGGCAGCGGCTGCGGAGCCGGGACGAGTGAGTCTAAACGTTTCGGGTCCTTCCGCCGCCCCTTCAAAACGATCCTTGCGTTTGCCTCCGAGACGTTCCCAAAGCGTTTCGCGGGACGCACTGTGAGGCTGAACGGGACTGGATGTTGCCGTGGGCGGAATGCGGCGGCCGATCGCGCACAGCGGCGACCCCACAAACCCGCGTGGATTGGGCGGCCAAGTGTTTTTTTTTGAAGGAATTATTTACCCCTGGAAAAGCGATCCACCAATTGTCTAACAACCGGGTTCCTACTTACTGCCACAGGTCTCTCGCTTGCAAGGCGAGTACTCCTAACCACTGAGCTACAGTACTCCACACACACATCTGTATATAGTGCCTGTCGTGCAGGATAGCGCTCCAGAGCACTCCAAAAGAAGCACCCGGAATCCAGTGTTTAGAAAATCTTCATTAACTTCACCCAAGTCCCTTTGCCTCAGAGATTCTCATCTCCCATTTTGATTTATTCCCCCCTAGTTTATCGAACACGGTGAGGTCTGTAAGCAGTGCTGAAGGGACTCGCAAACCCATCGAATGTCTTGGATCCAGGAGAAGAAGCTTCACCTTGCTGAGCGGCTCAGTGCATGCGTTTTAAAGGTAAATCTTTATTATGCTTTATTAACATGAGATTTTCTCTGAAGCTCTTGTGATGGCTGACTACGTAATGCTATGATTTTGGACGATGTCACACAGTCTGAGCCTTAGAACAAAAAAAATCAGTACCTACTGACAGTGGGTCACTACCACCCTGTTCAGTACAGTGTTGCACGCAACATGTAAAGTCAGCGTATTTCATAGAACTTCAGGGAACTTCAGACCCTCATAGTTGCATTAAAGTGGATTTGTAGATCTTCTGAGCTCTGGAATTGGACAGTCTCTGTACTTTCCTCTATACCTTCTTTTCTCAAATTCTTCTACCCCTTCATCTCTTCCCTCCTCATTTTTTTTGCCAGTTGCAAATATCTCAATACCTCTTCTGCAGGTTGGCCCGATCCCGAAGCATGTGGCATTCATCATGGATGGGAACCGTCGATATGCTGAAAAGCGGCAGGTGGAAAGACAACAGGGCCACTCTCAGGGCTTTGAGAAGCTGGCAGAGGTATGGCTCCCTCTCTCCAAATGCATATAAGAACCACTTATGTCTTTCAAACAATGGAATTCATCAGCAGTATCTGCGTTCCTTCAAACTGGGTTCAGGATCAAGCCTTTCCCCCAGCTTATTGTTAATAGCCTGAAATGGCTGTTTGCCTTCCTATACGTTGCAGTGTAATGCGGTAGTCATGCCTGGGTGTGGAACTGCAGCTGAGCTGATGGGGTTGTTTTCTGTATGTGTTGCAGACTCTCCGGTGGTGCTTGCACCTGGATATCCAGGAGGTGACTGTCTACGCGTTCAGTATCGAGAACTTCAAACGCTCGAAAGAGGAGGTGGATGGGCTGATGGAACTCGCACGGCAGAAGTTCACACGACTTCTCGAGGAACAGTAGGTTTGCGGCAGTGACTGACAGTTAGGCCAAATCAGCCATTGTTTCTGCTTCTGATCGCTGACCAGAGACCCCTTACTTGGAGGTGGATTTTTGGCTCCACATCAGATTAATCTCTCCATGATGCTGTCAAGATTGACAGTTGAGGAATAAGCCCTTTGTGTGAGCTGCTAGAAGTTGACCAGGACCTTAGGAAAAGAAACATATGCCACACGGCCCATTGTGTCACCCGGGAAAGGGTAACCTAGAAGAGGGCAGACAATACCAAATTGCCTTCAGGACAGGCTGTCTCAACTGCTGTTCTTCAGCGCAAAATCTCCAAACAGAATTCTATATCACAAAAACAGCTTTATAATTGCTCTGTTGTATAGCTGGGAGACGTGATGTGTATACTGAGCAGTAGATTAAAAAAGTGAAAGCGTGAGGTTCTTCCTCTCAGCGATAATTCCTCCTGTTCAGCACTGGTTTGATCAGGCTTTTTCTTTGTCTTTTTCTCGATTTAGGGACAATTTGAAGAAACACGGTGTTTGTATCCGGGTTCTGGGTGACCTGACCTTGCTGCCTGTGGACATCCAGGAGCTGATTGCACAGGCTGTACTTGCCACTCAGCATTACAACAAGTAAGAGTTTCCTCTTCATCCTGTCGGTCACTCACTTCACGGCTGTTTGTGGGACATTGATGTGCGCAAATTGGCTGCCGCATTTGCCTACAAAATACACAGTCACTACATTTCACAGTAAATTCTGTAAGGCCCCATTGAGATGTTTTGAAGATGTGAAAAGGCTCTGTATCAAATGCAAGATTATTATAATTCTCTTCTGGACCTGAAACAGGAGCTGGACTGTTTCAGGTTTCTTCCCTAACTTCTCACACACCCATGCCCTTCCCATAATGAAGCCAGCATTTTTAATGGAACCTTGTGGCACTAGTGATCGAGTTTCTGTGGGTCAGTTCTCATGTGCTGATGTTTTTGGTGTACCAGAGGGTATTGGGTAAGCAGTCCAGGAAGCAGGTCAACATTCTGTCAAATGACCAAATCCCTCCGGCAGCCATGAGACCTTTAAGACGTGTTTTTCATCTACCAGAGAATCTTTCTCCAGAGGCTGTGACTTAGTAAAAGTATCTCTAAATCTGGTGAGTCAGGTCCTGGTTTAGTTTTGTAACTAACTATCTTTACATCTTCCTTTTCCTTTTGAGTAGGTGTTTCCTGAACGTGTGCTTTGCCTATACCTCCCGGCACGAAATCAGCAATGCTGTTCGTGAGATGGCCTGGGGAGTCGAGGAAGGAATACTGAAGCCCAGGTAAAGTTACCTTTCACACTACACGCTAAGCTCAGCTCTCAGTCTCTGCTGATTAGAATGGGGAAAACAGGGTGTTTCCGTGACATGGGATTGGCTTGTGCACCTCTTCCCTGTAGTGGCTGTTGAGCAAGTGATTTGTTTCAATTTCTGTGTGAAATAACGGGATACCAACAGCCATAACCACAACTACTCATATTTGTATTTCACCATTCAAGTAGGATGAACATCTTTAAAGCACTTTACAGAGTCAATAGGGAGGAGCAAAAAGAGAATTGAAGGCAGGGACAGAAGAGCAAGGCAAAGGGATTTTGTAATAAATTCTGATTGGATTTATAATCCCTCTCAGAAAAGGGTCTTTTGATTTTTGTCTCCTTCCCCGAAGGCACATGTTGGGGAATGATTTCGACAGGTGCCCTGTGTAATGTCTCTGTGAGTGGCTGATCTTCTGTGTGAGACAAGGAGTGAGTGTCACACCTAAGCCAGGTGGAGTCTCTCTCTCCAATGTCCATATTGGATAATTAAGAACCAAATTCCATTTTCACTAGTGTTGCCATGTTAGCATATGAAGATGTTTCCCATTATGTAGTGACTCTAATGCAGGAAAAACATAGCAGCTTGAGTGAGCTTGATCTTGGGCTGCCTAAGGCACTTCGACCGGACGAGCTGGGTTCACTGAGTAGCGGCCACCCTCCAACCCTCCTGACCCCAACTCCCAGTTCAGGTTGTAAAACCCCTGACCGTCCAGCACCCTGGGACATCTTTTCGACACGCAGGGTGCTATACAATTGTAAATTGTTGTTGTTGGTTTGAGGTGACCCGAATGCAGTGCTGGTGTGTGTTGTGGGGTGGTATTTCTGGTGTGTGTGGGAGAGGGGGCATATTTATGGTGGGAGCTCGGTTTCTAAAACTTGCTCTCTTTCAGTGACGTGTCCGAGTCTGTGCTGGACAAATGCCTTTACTCCAGTGGGTCTCCAAACCCAGGGCTGCTGATCCGGACATCCGGGGAGGTGCGTCTCAGTGACTTTATGCTGTGGCAGGTAAGACCCTCAGTACAGCACATTAATCATTTATGGGCTTCTTGCACTTTACGTAAAATCTCTAATGTCCTCTTTACCACAGAATGCATTGCATAGAACGTTCCAGCAACAACATGCTCTCATGGGTTTGGGACTCCCACACTTTGGTTTTATTCAACTGTTGCAAGCCTTTGAGCACTCAGGTGGAGCTTGCTCTGAGGTTTGGAGCACTTTGCGGATGTACCTTCGTTCCTAGATACTGGGTCACAACTGCTAATTCCCCTTCGCTTGCAGCACCTGACCCAGGCCAGTGTGTTTGCTGTACGAAGAGATTATAATTATAAAAATGCTTACATTTGATACAATGTGTGACACATGGGGAGATTTACATGTGAGGATTGTCCTTTGCTGGCATGGATTCAGCACTTTGAATACCACCAATTAGTAAGCAACCAATATATCTTCTATACTAATAAAGACGTTCTGTCTGTCTGTCTGTGTATCTGTCCGTCCGCCAAGAAAGCAATAACCGATTGACATAGAGACATGATTTATACCTCATCGGAGAGATCTTGCATAGGGAGGGGAGTGTCGTTTTGCTTAAGGTGTACACACAGTGTTTATGGCATGTTAAATAGTTTGTGAGTGGTATCACTGAAATCTACATTCCATATTGGATTTGCTTGCAAGCATCGCTGCAGTGGGTACAGCTAATCAATTTGTATCAATAATCCCATCTTCCGCTCTGACTTTCTCTTCAGACATCCCATTCATGCCTGGTTTTCCAGCCCGTGTTGTGGCCAGAGTATTCATTCTGGAACCTGTGCCAGGCCGTGCTGCAATACCAGATGAACTACACAGCCATACAGGTAAGGAGCGAGCAGCTTCCAGATTGTGGCTGTGAGCAGGAGACCAGTGGGGTAGTGGGGCATAGTTACTCTGAGCGTAAATCTCATTTTAATCGATTGTGAAGACCTGTAGAGGAGTGGTTAGAGAACTCGCCTCACAAGAGAGAGGACTCAGGTTTGATTCCCGGGCAGGGCAAAACCATAGGCAAGTATTCTTACTCCACACGCTTCTGTTTACATACCAGTAAGTGGTGTTAGTCAATTGGTGGATCGCTTTCCGAGGGTAATAATCACTTACAAAAAATATATATATTTGGGTCATTCAACCATGGACACCAATTGGCTGCTGTGTTTTGCCCACAAAATACATGACCAATCCAATTTACATTATATTCTGTGAAGCGCTTTGAAACGTGTCAACGATGTGATAAGGCGCTATATCAAATGCAAAGATTATCATAATTTCCCCATTAAATTGCAGAAAGCCAAAGACTTGCAGGTTGCGGACTGCAAGCGACGGCAAGCGGAGTCTGATCGCGCCTGTGTGTTGGAGCTCCTGGAGCAGAGTCCCTCGGGGAATGTGGAGGACGGGCAATTGGATCAGAACCAGGTGCAACAGTACACAGCGGAACGAGAGCAACGAGTTACCAGCTTCCTGTGCGCACTCGAACAGAAGCGCAAGAAATTCCTCAGTGATCTTGTAGCGGGCTGCCCACCGTTTGTATGCTCATAGGAGAGGCATCAACATCCTGCTGCAATCCACAGGACAGGACACGTGTGAGGGAACAAGTGCAGTCAGTATAGGCATTGCTGGAACAAACAGTTTGGCTTCAATATTTACCTGTCTACAGGTCAGGAGAATTGTCCCACATGAGGTATTCACTTCATTCCTGATTCTTCAAACTGACGTCCCCTTTCACCCCTTCCCATTCCCGGCCTCGAGTCCTGTTCCAAACCTGTGGGATTTTGTTACCGGCAAAACTCTGCCATTGAGGATCTAAATGGCATGTTTCTTAATGAGAAATGCATGTAACAAATGATGGGGGGTCGGGGGGGATTTCATTCTGGTAACCGGAAATGCGTCACAGCAACATCAAATGTGGGAACAACTGGAGTAGAATTCCAGAGTGGAGCTCGGAGTAATATGCTTCAGGGATCAGGGTGCTATCGCGATGTGAGTGCACATCCCAGTGGTATGTGTGGTGGAGTGGGGAGAGACACAGTCCCATTGGGGCGGTCACTGGCTAGGTCACAGGAGGACTAATCTCCATTTATTGCAGTGCTGCTGAGACTGAGAAAGCGGCAGTACTTGTACTCCACTCACTGCAATGTAATTGTTCTGCTGTCACCCCCAAAATGGGAGAGACCAGTGATTGTGAAGATGCCTCACTCCACCCTTGTATGCCAGCTCACAGACTAACCTGGACACTTGACCTGGTTCCCTGTGGCCCCTGAGTGTGTGTGAATCCTCCTCAGCCCATCACAGTCCCCTACTCATTCAGGGATTTGGTGAATATGGGCATGTCCCGTTTATATAATTTATATGTTAAAATATTTTGAGCTCATATACATTCTAACATAATTGTGTCTGAAGAAAGAATTTCAAAAAAACAGAATAAATTTCTATTCTTATTGGAGCTCTTGCTATTTGTATGTGTCAGCGTGGCTCAGGCAGTCACACTCTCGTTTTTCGGTCAGAAGGTTGTAAGTTCAAGCTCTGCATCAGGACTTTGAGCTGTGCCTGCGACGCAGTGCAGTATTTGGACAGCGTTGCGTTGTTCGGCAATTCCATTCTTCAGATGAGACAAACCGAGATCTCATGTGCCTGTTCAGGTAAGATTTTAAAGAACCCATGGTCTTTCAGGAAAGAGAAGGGAATTTTCCCCCTTTGTTCTAGCCAACAATCTTCCAGAACTGGGAGTGCTGGATGGAACAGTGTAGGAAAGCTTTTCCTTCATAACGAACTCAGCCTGTATTTACATAATATGCAAATACATCTGTTTTGAGGGAATAAATAGATAAGCCTATCTTACAGGAACGGGAGTAAGCCATTCAACCCCTCAAGCTTGTTCTACCATTCTACTGGAATGGTTCAGTTGGTAGCACTGTCGCCTCTGATTCAGAAACCTGTGGGTTCAAGCCCTAAATTGGGACTCACATAGTCTAAGCTGACGCTCCAATGCAGTGCCGGAGGTGTGGGTGTGTTACATTATCGGAGGCATCGGTTGAGATGTTAAAACCGAGGTCGCGTCAGCCTGTTCAGATGGACGTTAAAAGTTCCTGTGACACTAAAGAGAAGGGAGTTTCTTTTTCTTAGTGTCCTGGCCAACAATCCCCCAAATAACATTGGTCATTCGTTTCATATCTGTTTGTGAAACATTGCTATGTGCAAATTGGCTGCCCCGTTCACCCACAAATAGTCAGTCCACAACAAATCCTGTGAAGTGTTTTAGGATGTCCTCCTGAAAGGCGCTGTACCAGATGAGTTGCTGCCTTGTGTATAAGAACATTGATGTAGTGGAGTAAATGACATGAGTAAAAGAGCATTTATTAAGGAGAGAAAGTTCTTTAGTTGAGTTTGGAGTGTTGCTCTATAAATGGAGAACGCAAAGAACTGTTATCAGCACATCAGCACATCTCTATTTAGGTTATTTGAATAATAACGAGAATGAAAGCTAGAGTGCAAGCGGGAGGATAAGACTGTGTGTACCCACAGCAGGACAAGAGGCTGAAGGATTAGAGATGTGAGGGGCCAATTCAGGACAGACACCAGGAAGTATTTATTTACACAGAAGGTAAGTAATGACTGGTGTTGGGTTCTGGGCAATGAACAGAATAAGAATACTTATTCTTTATACCCTGCTTTAATTAAGGACCCAAGAACAGAGGAACCAAAGACACTCAGCAACCCATGCTTTGAAAATGTCTTTACTTAATAAGAAATGTAAAGTTTGTTAGTTCAATTATCACAAATACAACAGACGAATCAATATCATAGACAAGCGTCCATATTCAAAGTAACAGAATCAATAGTTGGTCACCATAAATCATTCAAATCTTTGCTTCTTTGGTAGTCAGTTGATAAATTCACAAACAGTAGGCAAATATCTTGCATCAGACGAAAAGTCTCTTGCTTCAGACCAGAAAAGTCTTGCTTGGGGTTTGTTAATTACAAGTCAAAGTTGAATCTTCAATGTTGCTCAGGGAGACTGAGAAGTTTAGACCTGCAGGAGTGAAGATGTTGACAGGAGCCAAAGAGTTTGGCTTCTGTCTTGTCCACATTCAGCTGCAGGAAGTTTGCACTCATCCAGGCTCTGATGTCTGCCAGACAAGCTGATAGAACATCGGTGGACCTGGAGTCGATGCTGGAGGAAGCAAAGAAGATTTGTGTGTCATCCGCATACATGTGGAAGTTAAACCCATGTCTGCGGATGACATCTCCCAAAAGGGAATATATAGATGAGGAAAAGATGGGTCCGAGGATGAAGCCCTGGGGTACCCCGTAGGTGAACAGGCGAGGCCGGAGGAAAAAACATTTGTTGAGATGAAGTGGAGGCAGTTGGTTGAATTGGACTCAAACCATGAGAGTGTGGATCCACTAAGGTGGATGAGGGAGGAGAGGAGGGTGGAGGAGGATGGTGTAGTCAACTGTGTTGAACGCGGCAGAGAGATCCAGGAGGACAAAGAGGCAGTGGGAGCCCTGTTCGCAGATAGAGAGGATGTCATTTGTGACTTTGGCAAGCGCTGTCTCTGTGCTTTGGGCAATCAGGGCGAAAACCAGACTGTCAGGGCTCGAGGGAGTGGAGGGAGAGGTGTGACCGAAGTTGACCTGCAACAATACGTTCCAGGACTTTAGCAAGGAAGGGTAGGTTGGAAATGGGACAGTAGTGTGAGAGGTAGAGGGATTGCAGGTGTTTTTGTTTGAGGAGGTGTGATAACAACGGTTTTCAGGGTGAGTGGAACAGAGCCTGAGGAGAGAGACTGGTTCACTGTGTCGACCAGTAGTTGAGAAGGAGGACGGACAAATGGGGGCAAAGGAGTGTAAGGAGTGGAAAGCGGCAGGAGCCATAGCGGAGGAAGAAGGCAGTGTGAATGGTCTGGTGGGATGGAAGTGGACATGGGTGGGGAGGACGATGCAGCCAAGCAGATGTTTTGAATCTTTGAGGCAAAGAAATCTAGGAGTTCTTCACGATTGAATTCAACACAAACACAAATTTGTGATGAAGAGACATCTTCAACAAACTTCAGTTGTCATAAACACGTCTCTTGACATTTTTCTAGCCTACCTCATAATTTTTAACCATTAATCAAAATGATGCTTTCGACTACATGGGTTAACATATTCACAATTACAGTTATGAAGTGGGATCGCAACAATGGCACGAGTTACCAGGAAAGGGGTTGGGGGCAGTATTGCTGAGACTCGGTTAAGCAACAGCTTGGGAAGTCTAGGGCTTAGGGTATATTCTGAAGAATGAAGACAAATGGGTAGATACGTCTTCGCCTGAGCTTTTCCTACCTGCTTTGCCATCTCAGCTCAGATAGTAACAACGGGAAAATGTATACACAGTCACTGCCCCGAGCTCTAAGCTGGAAACCTCTTTATCACTGTTTTGTTGTTGATTTGTGATCCTATCTGAGGCTCACTATCAGACTGCAGCAATGTCCTGCCCAACAATCCCCCCAAATAAAAAGAAATTGTTCATTTATTTTTCCATGGCTGTTGTGGGATGTTGCTGTGCGCAAACTGGCTCACTGCATTTTGCCCACAAAGGTACAGTCACTGCACTTTACAGCGTATGCTGGCAATCGCTTTGAGACGTCTTGATGACGTGATAAGACACTGTATCAAAGGCATGGATTATTATCAAACTGTATGGGAAGGCACTTGAGGATTATTGCAGTCTCCAGACTATGCGTGGCTCAATTGCTACAGCTCAGTTGGTGAACAGGAAATGATCTGAGCGCGTGGGTGCAGAGAGCAGAGCTGAGGCAGCCCACAGAGAAATACTGCCGCTCAGAGCAGAGGCCTACTCCATACTGGTGTCGGCCACAGCCAGGCCTATAACTCGTGCAAGCTTCCAGGTCAGGCTATCACATCAGTTCTTCACCACCCCTGTAAATGACTCCAGCAATGCAAACATTCAGCTAATATTTTGAAGCATGCTTTTTGCTCAAACATCTGCATCTGAGTCTTGGAACTAAGGTCTCAAGACCCTCCTCTTTGACCGTGCCTTCTCAACCTGGGTTCTCACACATGAAAAAGTTTTAACATTTATTTGGAGTTCTCAGATGTAGATATGATTTTCAACTCACTCCAAATTTTGGATAAATCCAGTTTTAATCCAGTTCTTAAAAAAAAGTCTTCCAAATTAAACCTGAATTTAAGAATGTTGAAACCATTGCCTTATGGAGATATAGCTATTTCGATCTCACCACAAGAACGTTCGTTCCATTAGACAGGCTCCTGGGAGGGAGATGGTGCATTATTCATGAGCTAGTTTTTCAAATGAGACGTAACTTAACGGTGATCTGGGAGGGTAAGAGAGAGATAGGTATTTGGGAAGTCGAGAGAAATGGAATTAAAAGGTCTCAAGACCCTCCTCTTCGACCACGCTTTTGGTCACCCTCCTTCCCCCAGCCTCCCTACCCTCCACCCCTCCTGATTCCCAACTCCAACTCTAGTGTGGATCCTTGACCATCCCGCACCTTGGGATGTGAAAAGCGCAATACAAATTTGTTGTTATTGCCATGTTCTCGGTGACTGGCAGTGCAGGCTGGATGGGCTGAATGGCCTTCTGTTTCGCTCTTGCCACTTGGAGACTAGCTGCTACACCTGACGGTGGCACCAACACATGTATCTTTAAATAATTGAAAATGACATGTGCTAAATCAGTTGCCGTAGCAGGGTGGCAATCCCCTGACCTTTGCCTCTTTCATTCAATGTTGTATGTGGAGGAGTGCCAGGTTAGACCTCCCAATCATCATCAACGGGAAAGGCAGGAACCAGCTCCCACCCAACATATTTGTGACCGTGTTGTTGGGGCGTTGTCAATTGGTCTTTCGGTTCCAGAGCTGGTGCAGTGTAGAATTAGCGTACAGTCAAGGGTTGGTGTAGTTCAGACCCGGGTTTGTGTGACAGTTGTTTTGAGGCACACTGAGAGGTCTTGTCTGCATTGACAGCTGCTGACTGACTTGCCAAATACTGTAGTGTATGTAGCAAAAACAGCACCAACTTCATGCATGAACAGGCAGGCTATTGAGCTCCCCATCCAACTACCCACATTCCATATTTTTACACTTAATAAACCTGAAACCTTTCAATTGGTAGGAACTTGCATTTAGTATTTGAAGAGCAATAACATGAGAGAGTTGGGGAAAGAGCGGGGAATTGCAATTGTGGTTAGTTCCACTGCATCTAGCACCTGCAGAGGCTCCACGAGCCAAGGACTTCTTCCTCTGCTGATTAAATTCTTGCCTGTATGTCACGGGGGATGAGGGGACATCAGTTATTCTATATATGTACAAACCCTCCCCCCCACGATTCCGATTCCAGTAACTAGTTGGTAGCTGTAACTCAGTTACGCTCCACATTATTCTTATCCATTAATAAAAAGTGCACCATACATGTCGTTTATAATAATAACAATCCTTGCATTTGATATAGCCCCTTATCATGTCGTGGAGTTCTGTAGCTCAGTGGTTAGAGCACTCGCTTTGCAAGCGAGAGACCTGAGTTCAATTCCAGGCAGAGGGCGAAACCTTGGGCAAGTTTCCTTACTCCACACAGAGCCTAATAATAATTCCTCCAAAACCAAAAACAATAATAAATTGGTCATTTTCAATCTACGACTGTTTGTGGAACATTGCTGTGCGCAATTGGCTGCCGCGTTCGCCCACAAATATACAGTCAATTCACTTTACAGTGTGTTCTGTGAAGCGCTTTGGGACGTCCTCCCGACGTGAAGAGCGCTATATCAAATGCAAGGATTATTATTTTATTATGTCTTCAAGATGTGTCAGAGCGCTTCAAAGAACATATTGTAAATTGAATTGACTCCATATTTTGTGGGTGAAACGCTGCATCCAATTGCACACAGTATTGTCCCACAAACAGTCCCGGATCGAGTGACTAAATAATTATTTATTTATTTATTTATTTTCGGAGGGATTATTACCCCAGAAAAGTGATCCGCCAAATCACCGAACAACCGGGTTCCTGTTTACTGTGAGGGTAAATAGAGACGCGGGGAGTAAGGAAACTTGCCCAACATTTTTACCCGGTTGGGAATCGAACCCGGGTCCTCTCGCTTGCGAGGCGAATGCTCCGTTTGGGATATTTAAACCTTTCTGGATCCGTGTGCACGCTCACCCTAAACGAAAATCCTGCGAAGTGCTTTGAGACGTTCCCCTCCCGAGGTTTAAGGCGTCATATCAAACAAAAGGTCATTCATTGTTTGAATCCGAAGCCATCTTTAGACATTCCTGGTGGGGGTAGGTTTAGCAATCGAAAGGATGCTGTGGGTGGGGGCGAGGGGGGGGGGGAATATATATATTATAATTCAAATAAAAATTGTAAGCGCTGCATAAATAAATGCGAGTTGCAAAGATATTTGAGAGTGACTGTAATTGATATCAGGAAATCCCTCTGGAGGGTGTGTGTGTGGGGTGGGGGGGTGGGGGGGGAGAGGTGTGTGTGTGGGGTGTGTGTGTGTGTGGGGGGGGAGGTGTGTGTGTGGGGTGGGGGAGGTGTGTGTGGGGGGGAGAGGTGGGTGTGTGGGTGTGTGGGGTGGGGTGGGGGAGAGTGAATGAGGCAGTGTGTGAGGGTACGTGTGATGGGGGTGGGGTGGGGTGGGGAGCCCATGTGTGTGGGGAGAACGAGTGGGACGGTGTGTGTGTGAGAGGGTGAGAGACTCCCGACAACCGCACACACAGACATGTTGGCGACAATGTTGCAGTTGCTGCGACACATTGTATCGGGAGGGGCGGCGGCGGCGGCAACTTTGTAGCGAAGCGGGAGTCTGACAGCCTGTGATCCGCGAGATGGGGCGTCTGTCCCCGGGTGTGGGTGTGTGTGTGTGGGGGGGGAGGTGTGTATGTGTGTGTGTGTGTGGGGGGGAGGTGTGTGTGGGGGTGTGTGTGTGGGTGTGTGTGTGTGTTGGGGGGAGGTGTGTGTGTGTGTGTGTGTGTGTGTGGGGGGGGAGGTGTGTATGTGTGTGTGTGGGTGTGTATGTGGGTGTGTGTGTGGGGGGGGGGGAGATGTGTATGTGGGTGTGGGTGTGTGTGTGGGGGGGGGGGGGGAGGTGTGTGTGTGTGTTGGGGGGGTGGGGGGGGAGATGTGCCCATCCCCCCGGGGGGGGTGGGGATGTTTGTGTCTCAGGCTCTGCCCCATTCCCCGGCGCCGCCCACGTGTCCGGGGCTGTGACCAATGCGGGCGGGGACGGACGGACGGATGGACGGGGGGGAGGGGGAGTGAGTGAGTGAGGGAGGGAGGGAGGGGGGAGAGGGGGGGGCGAGGCTGGTTCAAACCGGTTTGTTCCTCAGTGAAGCTGCGACCGACCGACCGACTGACACCGCACACGGAGACACCCCGAGCAGAGCAGAGCAGAGCCGCACAGCGTCGCAATGCCTAAGAAGGTGAGTGCGGACCCGGTGCCGGTGTTCAAAAAAGGTTTTTTTTTGCGCGAGTGTATGTGTCGTGTATGTGCGAGTGCGTGTGTTCTGTATGTGTGCGAGTGTATGTGTTGTATGTGCGCGAGTGCATGTGTTCTGTGTGTGTTTTGTATGCGCGAGTGCATGTGTTCTGTATGTGCGAGTGCATGTGTTCTGTATGTGTTTTGCATGTGCGAGTGCATGTGTTCTGTATGTGTTTTGCATGTGCGAGTGCATGTGTTCTGTATGTGTTTTGCATGTGCGAGTGCATGTGTTCTGTATGTGTTTTGCATGTGCGAGTGCATGTGTTCTGTGTGCGAGTGCATGTGTTGTGTATGTGCGAGTGTATGTTCTGTGTGTGCGAGTGCATGTGTTCTGTGTGCGCGAGTGCATGTGTTCTGTGTGTGCGAGTGCATGTGTTCTGTGTGCGCGAGTGTATGTGTTTTGTATGTGCGAGTGCATGTGTTGTGTGTGCGAGTGTATGTTTTGTGTCTGTGCAAAAATATATTTATTTGTTTGTTTGTTAAACGGATCTCTTTTGTTACCCTTTTTTTTCGGGGGGTGTGTGGGGGCTTTCGTTGGTTTATTTTTACGGGGTTCGTACCCCGAAATATATATATATATGTGTGTGTGTGTGAGAGAGAGAGAGAGAGAGAGCGCGCGCGCTCCCGCTCTTTTTGGCGCGGGCACGAGCCCCAGAAAAAAAGGCGGGAGAGTGGGAGCGCGCGCGGCGCTCAATAAAATCGGGTGAAAAAGAAAAGGAGAGAGAAGAAGAAGAAAAATAAAAGAAAAGGCGTCGTTTCCCCCTCAAACCCCCGGGACCGCACCGTATTACCGACTCGTTATTACACCGTCACTTAAAAGTTAGTTGAGAGAAAGTCAGTCGATGAACTCAAATCTGCCTTAAGTTTCAAAAAAAAATTATATGTGTATATATATATATATATGTGTATATTTCTGTACGTTGTGTGATTCAAACGCAGTATTTTGCCCGTTTTTTGGGGCTCAGGAAAAAAAAATTAAAAAATAATAAGTTTCGAAGGGAATTGGGGGCAAAATATTTTTGCCTCAGTGTCTTCATCTCCGGGCGGGGAGACGACTTGAGACCGTGGCGCCTTTTCTGAGGTTCCGCTCTGATTGATTCTCGGAGGGGTTGTCGGGGGTATTTCCCCCCTTCCCCCCACCCCCCACCCCCCACCCCACGTAAAGAGAACTTCTTGAGGTTATTTTTTTTTTTAGGCGGGAGATGTTTAATCCGACCTCACCAAACCCTCGACGCGTTTCCTCACTCCGTGCCTCGGTTTTTGACCGGCAATAAGTAGTTTGGGTGACTGACACTCCCCCCCCCGGGGGGTAATGATCTAAGATGAATAATAATAATTTGGTCACTCAATCCCTGTTGGGACGCTGCTGTGCGCAATCCGCTGAGGCGTTTTGCCCACAAAATACACAGTCGATTTACTTTGCAGTATATTCTGTGAAGCGCTTTGCGTCGTCTCGAACAGGCGCTCGATCAAGTGCAAGGATTACTATTATTTCAGTCTGCATTTGTTTGCGATCCCGGAATGGGTGATGTTTCAAGACCATTGGTGAGAGAGAAAAGACACCCTTGAATGTGAACGGAGTTTGTTTTTGTTTAAAACACTTTATCCCACAACCTTTTTAGATGCAGCTCCAAAAGTGGGAGGACATAGAGCAGGAGGGAGTTGGCGTTTCACCTCAGATACTGACTTGACTTTTTGTAAATAAAAAAGACTTACAACCTCTTACGATTCGGTTATTTTTGATGGTGAACATTAGGTGCCGAGTGTATCCGGCCATGTTGGGTTCTTGCAGGCGTTTCCAGTGTGTGATTTCCGGACCGTTACAAATAAGCCTCTCAAACTTTTAGTCCGAGCCTTGTGTTCTTCCTGGTTAGCAATTCGTTAGGAGGAAACTTTCCCCCCAAAAGTTAGTCGCCTGTGCCAGCCATGATGTTTGTAATCTGTTTCTGACACTTCTCTTTCGCCTGACGCTAAACACCCGAGTGCTACTTTATTTCCTGCTTTGTGTTTTCTCTCATCTCACGGTGTTGAAACATTGTTATTGGATAGTAAGGCATCGAGTTACAGTGTAACCCGAGCGATCATACGTAAAGCGTTAATTAAGAGCACTGCGCATATTATAATTTCTATTTTGCATTCCCGAGGAAAACGCGTGAATCGAAAGTGAGAAAGAACGCTTGTGGCTAACTGATAAAATGTCCACATGTCCTGTGTCGTAATCGACTCCACTTTGTGAGCAGGTGTTGGAAGCGCTGATCTCTTCAGAAGTACAGCGCCTCTAAGGAAACTTCGATGACTTTGGTGAATTTAGAATTTGCTGAATGTGTCAACGGCCACTTAACACTCTCAGGACCTCTGTCTTGCCCGTAGTCAGTGCTTTTAATGCTGTAATTTCTCAAATATTCAACAGGAAGCTTAGCTTGATATAAAGTCTGTGTCTATCTGTCTCCTTATGAGGTGTTCTACAGTGTTAGCGAAGCTTACTTTACACGGAGTGAGTTGTGAGCCTGTGTGCTACGGCGCGAAGGGTAGAATCTGTGGGCTATCAAAAATAATCTGCTCACTGCCCCTTTTAAGGAAAATGAAATAATTATTTTTGACGATTAACACTTAAACACCACAGCTCAGTTGAGGCAAAAAAGGTGCATTCGGTTCGCTTTTGGCACCATTTTCAATTGCGATGGAGGTGGGAACCTCGCAGCGCTGGGGGATATAACTGGCTACGTTTTTCAAGAGTGAAACAGCCGTTGGTTGAAAAGAAATTGCCATCCTCGGTGACTGTTTAAAGCAATGCTTTACTGTCACTCTGGAGAGTGCTCTGGGCTGGTCTTCCTCCTATCACCACTAAATAAAATATTTGTACTCTGGTATTTATTCACTTGATCTCTCTCACTCACTCTGCCCTAAAAATTTTGCTTGGAAGCCCTGCTTCTTCTGTCCTTCTGGAGATGACTTGAGCTGTGTAGCGCTGTACAGTGTCGCACCTCTGGTGAGTTAGCAGAGCTGACACGTGGGTGTCTTGTGAAAGAAGCACTGAGGATTCAATTAGTTCATCTGATTAAAGCAAGAAGAGAATTATGACGGGTAATAATGGCAGAGGGGCTCAAACGGAGTGCAACCATGAAATCAGAGAGTTAGAAAATTAAAATATTTCTTTACACAGAGGGTTGTGAGAATGTCCTTGAAGGTGGTGCGGGGTAAATTTATTGGGATGTTTTAAAGCCAGGTGGACAAATACCCCATGAGTAAAGGGTATTAAGGGGATATGGAAAAAAAAATAAACTGCTTGATGGCTTCCTTCTGATCCTTTGATGGCAATGAAGCACAGAGCAGGAGTCGGCTGTTGGGGTGCAAAAAGTGTGGGGGGATGGTGCTATGATAATTTTTCTCCTGATTCATTCACTGACTTGCCAGGAGCACAGATCGGGTGTGGTATCTTTGGATACCTTTTCCCTCCACTGAATCCTGTGTTTAATACAATTCAAAATTACATTTGTGTGATGCCTTTTACGTCGGGAGGATCAGGCGCTGGATGGCATAGGGATGCACAATGTAATTATAAGTAATAGAGGAGGTTTCTGGTATATGCACTGCTTCTGCTATGAGTGTACAGTGCGGAAGGTGTTATTCTTCAGAGTGGATTTCATCGGGGGGGGTGTCCGGCTAACACCGTTTATTGCAAAAGTCAAATGTTACAAGCATTTTTTTAAAAATTGTTAAAGAAACAAGATTGATACGTTAAAATAATAACTATTTCATGTCTAAACCAAACTGTGAAACATATATAAACATAGACACAAGGTATTTACTGACCGGATTCACAGTGAGGAGGAAAATAGCCGACGTGGGTGTTTTCTAACAAATTTATCTAAAACTTGGATCAACCTCGATGTTCATAAACATTTGACATCTATTTGAATTTTCCACTGGCTGTAATAATGCTCAAGCCATCATCATTAGAGACATCAGCACATTTTTAAAAAAAAACGAATTAATGACTCTTTGGTTCTCTGCCTCCATTGGAGTCTCTTTGTTTCCCTGTCAATGTTGCAAATAGACGTTGGCTCCGACACACAGAGAAGGAAATCCAGAGGTTTGTTTTAGTTACAACTTTTGAGTTTCCTATTGTCGATAATAATGTCAATATAGCGGCATTGTTGACGATGGGAAATTCCAAAAAGACTTTTTAAATGAAAAGAAACGGCCTCTCTGCATCCGTCAGAGTCTCCGCCGGTCCCTGTCGCTCGCTGATTGAGGAGCCCGGCCTCATTGGACAGCGGAAAAAGTGGGTGACTCAAATCTGATTGAGGATGCCGCTACTAGGTGTGGGGACTTTATTTCTGCGCTTCCATTGATCTTTAAAACATGATCAAAGGTCAAGAAGCTCTTTGGAACTTTTCTGCTTGAGAGAGACACTGTTTAAAACTAAAGTAAATACTTTGCTCTTTGGGGTCTGTTGGCCCCTTTCGGCCCCCATCCCCTGCCCTCTGTTTATCCCGTTAATTGTTCTGCACAAGGTGAGGAAGATCCTCATGTGGGGATCGGTTTGGGTTTGTGGCAAAGGTGCGGTCAGTGAATTTGACATCATAACCTGCATCACAGGCGGTCACTGTCCTGGCTCTTCGTTGAACATGTGGATGTTTCGGACATTCACTAACTCTCTGCTTTTTTTTGTTCCAGGATGAAAGCAAGGGGGATAGCGCAACTGTAAGTTATCTTCCCTCTCTCCTGTTCACTAATAAATATTTTCATTAATTCTCATCAGTAAATGATGAAATTCGTTAATACGTTGTATATTTGATTTTTTTTGTTTAAACGATGGATTTTACTGATGATGTTTTGTTGTTGCATTACAGACATTACAAATAACACTGCGACCCCGGAAGGTAGGTGTGCAATATTTGTAACAGTAGCTGCCCTGTGTGATGGGGAGGGGGATCATTCAGCCATACAGGACAGGTAGGGTTTGGGATCAAGCCTGGGAATGCGCTGTTTCCTAACCTAAGAGTGGCTGTGAGGTGCAGTGAGGCCTTCTGGCCTCCATTTTGCTTTGCTGAACAGCTCTTGAGCGCGGTGGACAGAGATTTGTAGAGGAGGAGAATTTGGCTGTGAATTCTTTCCTATACAAAAAAGGTGGATTTGGATCCTAATCCTGATGTTCCTTTTGGGATTTCAAACCCTGGTTCCAGTTTAGTAGAGCATTGGAATGATTGTCTCTTGAGTATCAGGACCAAGGAATTAATTCCCCGCACTGCTATTGGAAAATAGTATCTTTCTAACTTTTGTTTTTAATCTACCATTAGCGAAAAAATGTCCCAGAAGAGAAGCCTAAACCCAAGAAGGCTGCCCCCAAGGTGAGTCTTTTCTTGAATCTCTCGGAAAAACTGTAGTAGTCTTTGTTCTCGGCAAAATGTTTGATGTGCCTTGCCTATTTGTAGGCGGTCTTTGTGAATGTGCAGGTGTTAGCGCTCACACCAGCTGTAATCCCTGCTGGATTTGTGTTTGGGTACCACAGCCCTAGTGTTCCTTTGCCCTTATTTCAAGTCCAATGTCAGGCTGTAGCCTCCCTGGTGTAGGCGCCTTCACTAATCAACACTGATGCCAGCGAAGCTCTGGCTCAGATTAGGGTGGATTCCAGTCTGAGAATTGTCTTACCTCATATGATTGAGAGGTAGCTTCTGACTTTTGGGAAGCCCTCCACTGGGATCCGAGTTCAGTCTTCGCTCATTCCAACATTGCTGGGGGGAGCTTTGCGCTGCTGGATGAGGCATTGAGACACTGAACTAAGTTTGCCAATGGACGACTTCCAATACATTGTTTGCAAGAAGAACAGAAGGAGTGTTTTGGGCAATATTTCACCCCTCATCCAAATTCACCAAGCAATGTTTAATCTGCCTTGTCTCTGTGCAAGCATTGTTGGAGTCGATTTAGCTATCCATTTGCCTACATCCCTGCTCGTCCGAGTAATTCATTGTGTATCGGCCTGGCTCTGTCGCTGGCACTCTGAGTTAGACCTTTGTGGGTTTAACCCCCACTTCAGCCCATTGTGTCACAATTCTTGCTCCCCACCTCCAAGCTATTTGGATCAGAGGTTAAACTGAGGTCCTTTCTGTGCCTGTTTACGTAGGTGTTAAAGATCCCACGGCACGATTCCAAAAGAGAAGGAATTTATCCCAGTGCCAACAATCCCCTAAATAAAATTGGTCATTCCATGGCTATTTATAGGACATTGCTGTTTGTTTGGCCACAAAATACAATTGCCAATTTAGTGTCCTGTGAAATACTTTTTGAGGCCTCTTAATAAAACAAGGCGCTAAATCAAAATCAGGAATTAATTATAATTATTTCACAGTTATTGCCATTTCAGAGTTGAGTTCAGTAATTCCATTTAGAAACTACTTTTCCCAACAGAAAACGGTGAAGGCTAAAGGATCCAAGGCCAAGAAAGGCAAAGAAGATCCCGAGACAGACAAGGAGTCTGGAACTCCACTTGCTGAAAATGGTGAAAATAAAGAGGTACTGCACCGTAACACTTAAGTCGCATCTCTCTCTCCCTCTCCCTTCACGCCCCCTCCCCCCAGTCCTCATAAAGCTCTGGATCTCACCCAAAATTCTAGGGTTTTCTCCTTCCTGTCTTTAAAAACAAGATGTTAAAAAAAAATACATCTTTGACCAAAAGTTTAACAATTCCCTCGAGCCCCTCCCAGCCTAGAGATTCCCCGGCATCTCTGTGAAGCGATCATCCTACAGAACGGGTTACTATGGAAAGTAAAATAAATCACTTTGTTTTTCAGGCCTAGAGCAGTTGCTGGTGACGGAGATGGGATGGGAAGTAAAGAAAATGCCATCCCTGATTCCGATGAGTTTGTGTACCTCTTGCAACTTGTACAGTTGAAAGAATATTTTTATCAAGTTTTATAAACGCAACTTTTCTTTTTAGAGTTTTGAGTGGGCAGCAACCAAGCGTACCGATGCTGTGTACGCACTTTACTTTCGAGGGAGGGGGGCTTTTGTGTAGACAAGTGAAAACCCTGAGCTCAATTCTTGTCTCTTTCCCTCCTGCCACCCCGTATACACAACAAATTGTAACTGCTCTGACCACATTGTCGGGTGATTTTTGTCAGTAAAGTCTTTAGTTCTTGAGTAATGTTCTGACACTCTCAGCATGAAGTGTTCCTACCCTCACTCCACACGTTTAAGAAAATTGAAAATGTAAATTTTATGATTTTTTTTTTAATTGTACTGTTTGAAAAGAAATTGTAAAAATATATTCTTGTTGGAATTGTTTTGAGGCTGATGGATTTTTTTAAAGATAAGATCGTATGCTGAATATCCCCATGGTATTTTGGATTTGCTTACCTTAATAAAGTTGGATACTGTTCTGCTTGGACATGGGGCTTTTAGTCTTCTTTTTGTTGTGGAGATTTACTCCAAACTCACTGACTTGTTTATTTTCAGTCGGCCGAAACATAGCAGGGTGGACTTTGAATAGTTTCTCTGTCTCGGTGTTTATGCTTCTAAAAGGCACAGAATCGTGCTGACTGGGCACAAGTGCTGAGTGAGTGATTCTGGATGGCTGTTCTATGGGTGTAGGTATCTCTCTGGCTGGTATCTTACTCGAGTGTTTGAGTTTAGGCCAGAAGTCTGGCTATAGGGAGCATCGTAGCTGAGTTCATTGTTGTCCACGGGTACATTTCCCTTTCCAGCAGGAAGTGACCAGAGAAATTACAGCAAAGCAATATACCATTTGATCCATACGCCCCATGCTGGTGCTCATTCCCCCACGAAAGCTCTACTCAATAACTTGCATTCCTATGCAGGGTAGCATCCCAGAGTACTTGACAGTGGACTGATGCTGAGGGGGGAGGTGACCATAGACACGGTCAAAGAGGAGGGTCTTCGGGCACGACCTGAAGATGGGGAAGGAGGGGGCAGATGGAGAGTTAGAGGAAGAATGTTCCTGATATTGGGTCATATGGCAGAAGGTGGCTACTGATGGTGAAAAAGAGGGCACGAGGGGCAAACAGGAAGCTGAAGATAGTCAAGTGGAGAACAAGCTACTCTTGTCCCATTCCCTTGCTCTATTCCTGATGCTCGTTCCCCACTAGAGCTCTCTTATTCTATGTAGAGAATTCCATGTTCCTGCTATTTTAACGGACAATTATCACAAGGGTGCAAGGGTAAGTACATCTTGACTTGTAAATATTTTCTATTGGAACATTAACTCTCTTGTATATCTACACACATAGATGAGAGGAAAGGTCCTTACAAGTGTGAGACAGGTGGACTATCTGGAGACCAAAGCTGGAACTTTGTTGGTCCTTTTTAGTTCGAGAATGGGTTCTTTGGAAGCGCAGAGAAATTGGTCAGATCGGAATTAATTGCATAGACCACTAGTCAAACCTCATTCGAAAAAATATGTTTAATTTGGGCATAAGTGCCCAATCTGAGGAAGCCTGCACTGCTGGGGCAAAAACTATATTTTGCTCATGAAATATACAGTCAATTCCCTTTATATTCCTTGAAGCGCTATGAGACGTCTCGAAGTCTTGATAAGGCACTATATCAAATGCAAGGATTATTATTAAGATACCAGACACCTAAAGAACAGGGAGTCAGCGCCAGTGATGGTTTGTTCACCTAATACCTGGGATGAATGAGGCTGAGTAAACAGGCTGTAATCCATAGAGCTCAGGAAATTAATTAGAACCTAAGAGTTCGCTAGGCGAAAGAACACCAAGGTCTATCTAGTTCGCCTTCCACCATCCTGGTAGTCGCTTGACGTTTTATGTTCCAAATTATATACTCTATCCCGAGATATTTTTTAGCAGAAATCTATCTAATTTGTTCTTGAAAAAAATATTTTTTGCTTCCACCATCTCTCTGGGGAGCCTGTTCCATAAGTTTACTAGTTGCTCACGAAAGTAGTGTTTCTGAAGATTTGTTCTGAACTTACTCCCCTTCAATCACAGGCTGTGTCCTCTGGTCCTGCTGTTCAGTACAAGATAAAACAGCTTATCATGGTCTACATTATCTATTCCCTTCAGAATCTTAAAAACTATAATATTGCCCTTCAACCTTCTCTAGCATGAACATGCCCAGTTTGTGTAATCACTCATTGTAGTCTAGTTCCTCCATCCCCTCAATCATTTTGGTTGCCCTCCTCTGTATCCTCTCAATTGCTGCAATATCCTTTTTATATTGCGGTGACCAGAACTGCACACTGTATTCCAACTGCGGTCACATCACTGATTTATAAAGTGGCAGGATAACCTACTATTTTGGCTCAATATTGCCCTTTTAATACAACCCAGCATCTGGTTTGCCTTACTCACTGCTACCAAGCCTTGTTGGGATAGCTTCAATTTATTGTCAATCAGGATCCCCGGGTTCTTGTCATTTTCTGTACAGATTATTTTCTTACCATTTAAATAATGGATTTTTTTTGTCCCCATATGAAGCACTTGCATTTCTCTGTATTGAATTCTTGAAGATGTCAAATAAAAGTGCTTCCAAAACGGACCCCTATGGAACTCCATCGGTGTCATACTCCCAGCCTGATGATATTCCCTGTACCACCACCTTCTGGGTTCTATGGATCATACCAACAACAACAAAATTACATGTGTAAGCGCCTTTCAAATCAGGAGGACCTCCCAAGGCACTGGAGGGTCAGAGTTTCAGACTCAAGTTGGGATCGAATTGCGGAGGGTGGAGGGCGGGGTGGGGGGGTCTTGAGATGTGTCTTGAAAGAGGCAAGGGTGGGGGTGAGGCGGAGGGACTGTGGAATGGAGTTCCAAAAGGTGGGGGCAGAGTGGCAAAAAGTCCACCCGCCGATCGTAGGGCAGGTGAGGCGGGGGATGTGAAGCAGGTTGAAGCCCACTGAGTGGAGGGACCAGGCAGGCTGGTAGGGGTTTAGGAGGTTGCAGAGGTGGGGGGGAGCAAGACATGGAAGGCTTTGAATGTGAGGACCAGAATCTTGAACTGTATCCTCTGTGTGATGGGAAGCTAGTGGAGTTGGGCGAGGATGGGGGTGATAGGGTCATGGAGCCTGGTGCGGGAGAGCACACGGACTCCAGAGTTCTGGGTGACCTGCAGCCCTATGGAGGGAGGAGTTGGGGAGGCCAACAAGCAAGAAGTTTGTACAGTCGAGCCTCAATGTAAGGAATGCATTACATTCAGGCATCTAATTGCATTTAATGTAATGATTATAACGTCTTGAGTGTTCCACAGGTAATTTTTCACACCGCCTCCACTTCGGCGCGGCAAACGGCTTCTCCTCCAGCCCCTGCAACGTCTCGTGCGGTATCCCTCAGATCTCTGTCCTCACAAATGGAGGGCAACGAGGCAGCAGACAGCGGTCTCCTGAGAGCTGAGGTGGGAAAAAATTATCAAATATATTTTGCCAACCCTGTGCGTCGCAAGCAATGTGACTGGAATGTTCGCAACTCCAGGCCCTGTAAACCGTGTGTTTCACGTTTACAATGTGCAATTGTAACAGCAAACAGCAGGAGGAGCCATTTGGTTACTTTCTGGGGAAAAAAATTTGCTTCATCTTTATTTTCATTTGTCATCAACAACAAAATTACATTTATATAGCACCCTTCATGTCGGGAGGACGTCCCAAGGTGCTGGACAGACAGAGTTATGGACCCGAGCTGAGGGTCAGGGGGAGGGCGGGGATGGGGGGAAGCAGAGAGATCGAAAGCACGGTCGAAGAGGAGGGACTTGAGGTGGGTCTTGAAGGTGGCGAGACTGCGGGGTGGGGTTCCAGAGGGTAGGGGCAGAGTGGCGGAAGGCCCGCCTGCCAATAGTGGGGCGAGCAAGGCAGGGGACATGAAGCAGGCCGGAGCCCGCTGAGCGGAGGGAGCGAACAGTGGTAAGGGTTTAGGAGGTCGGAGAGGTAGAGGGGAGCAAGACTGAGGAAGGCTTTGAAGGTGAGAACCAGGATCTCTGGACAGTCAAGAGTTTGCCCCCAACCAGGGGGTTGGAATTTAAGAGGGATGGAGGGTGGGAGTGATGGGATGGTCGCTCAAAGAGGAAGGTCTTGATCCTCTGTGGGATGTGGAGCCAGTGAATGCTGAGGACGTGGGTGATCGGATCGGCTCATATAGTTTGGTGCTGGAGAGGACACGCGCTGCAGTTCTAAATAATCTGCAATTTGTGGAGGGAAGAGTTGGGTAGTCCACTGAGCAAGGAGTTAGCATAGTGAAGCCTGGACGTGAGGATAGCATTGATATTTTATTCATTATTTTATGTAAGAATCTCAGCAGCCTGAGGGGAGGGGGTGATCCAGAGGTGGGGGTGAGCAGAATGGGTCAAGGCATCGATGTGGAGTTTAAAGGGTGGTTGAACAAGACACCAAGGTTCTGTACTAGTGAGGTGGCGAGTGCATCCATGAATAAGGATTATAATCTTTCTATTTGAAAAGATTGGGAGGATGTCTCAAAGCACTTCACATGATCTATTGTAAAGGGCAGTGAGTGTATTTTGTTGGTGAATGAACATATATAAAAGAATGAGGGTTTGGGGATAGAGCGAGGGGGTCAGTGTTGCGCTAACATTCTTGTCTCTGCTGAGATGCTATCAGAGCCCTGAAAAGATGACATTTGAAAAAGATCCTCTCACTCGTTTTCAAATCACTTCATTCCCTCGCACCTCCCGAACTATCCGATCTATTCCCTAACTATTCCACCACCCGCCTCCTCCACTCCAGCCTCCTGTTTGTCCCTCGTGCCCTCTGTTCCATCATCAGTGGCTGTGCCTTCAACTGCCAGGCCCCGAAACTGTGGAACACACTCCCTCAATCCCTCCGCCTTGCCCCTTCCCTCCCTCCCCACCTTCAAATCCCACCTAAAGACCTTCCTTTTTGATTGCACTTACCTTCCCCACCCCCCCCCCCCCCCCCCCCAGCCACTATGAAGCGCTTCAGGATGCTACCCCGTGTGAAGGGCGCCATATAAAGGCAAGTTGTTGTTGTTGTAGCCCTGGTTAGCAGCCAAGATGCCTAATTCTCATCGCGAATTGCATCATTTCTCTTCTAAGCTCCTATTAAAGTGTAAACTGATTCCATCTGTGCTGGAGTGGGACACTCAGCATCACTCCCTAACCCACACATGGGATCCAACCAATCACACAGCAACATGCGTGATGCGGGGACGCTCCTGCTGTTTTCGTAGCTGAAGCTGTAGCCTCGGGCCGTGCGCACACACACACACTGGCAGCAACTGGCCTGAAAGGCACATTGTTTTACTTCCAAGACCAAACACAGCATCAACTGTAAACAAGAACTCAGCTCGGAACAGAGCAGAGACAGTGCAGAGCGAACTTCACTCTATCTCCAAACTGGGCGTGGTTGATCTGGACTGTTGGACTGATAGTACAGAGGGA